CCCCCCCCCCCCCCCCCACCGAAAACGGTAGCTGTACTGGGGCATAGGAAGTGACTTGAAAAAGCTGTTGGCGATGTCGATAGGACAGATGGGCTACATACGGAAATCATTTTTGAGCCACCGTTGGCAAGTAGGAAGGAACGATTGGCCATCGGTGATCGGTCCTGTGTGAACAGTGCTCCTCTTTCTCTGCAGGACGCGTGATCAATGTTCTAAACGCGAAGGCACGCAAAAGATAAGAGTACGCCCCACCCCCCCTCCCTCCTCGTGGCCGTCGCCCAGGTGATGGACTTCTTCAAGCTCCCCATGAACGCGGCCATAGTCCTGGTGGACGAGGTAGCGCTAGACTTTGGCCAGCTCCGGCTCAAGGGGAAGGGGGGGGCGGGGGGGCACAACGGGCTCAAGAGCTTGCAGGCGCACCTCAAGACTCCGGAGTATACCCGACTTAGGATCGGCGTAGGAGGTGTGTGGTTTACCTATGTCTGCCATGTGTATACCGCCGGTGACACAAGACACCACACCCCTTGAACCGATTTCCAAAGCTCGACTGCTCCACGACGAAGAGGATGAAAAACTCAATTGATGCGTTTTCAGAAAGATGTCGACGTGATGGTTCCAACGACGATATGTTCGGCACGACCTCTCTTTTCTACTGTGGAGTGATCGAGCTTTGAAATCGGACCAGGCCAAGGTGTGTGTGGTATCTTGAGTCACCCGCGGTATCTACGAGGAGCTGAGATCGCGTTTGTGTCAAGGTGCTAGTGGGTGGCCCGTGAAAACGCGCGCACGGGTATCTTTCAGGTGTCTTGTTACCGCATTGTGACTCAACCCCCTCGCTCGTTCGGCCCGTGCTCGAAAGAGGGATGGTTGACTACTGCAGTAAGTCACGAATGCTGCTGGGGTAAGGAGCGATCCTGTGGGTGTCTGCTTTCGCTTCGATTATTACACACGGCTCCGTCCCACTTTTGCGCGGCTCAACCTTAACTTTTCGCTGACAGCGTCAAAGTTTTCGGAGGCCTTGTCGGACCACGTTCTTGGAGAGTTCACGAGAACAGAAAAGAAGGAGCTCGACAACGTTATCGCCGACGCGTGCGACGCGGTGGAGCACTGGATAGAGGAGGAAGACATGGCTAAGGTCATGACGCGGTTCAACTCAGCGCGATGACATTCGGCGGCGGCGGCGGCGGCAGCGGCAGCGCTTTCGCGTGGCCGAGGAGATAACGCCAACACCCCAAAGCAATGATCCAGTGGTTACGGAAAGTAATATTTGCTTTACGCGTTATGCCATCGCCTTATAGACTACGTTGAGGAGCGGAGAGGATTCCCCACAACCTTCAAAACCACGACAGGTGTATGTCACCATCGAGGCGTTCTGCGTTAGAGGACCGCCGTATCTTGGCATGGTGCAAATGGACAAGCCCCTCAGCTCCTTGCTAGAATAGTAACTTTCGACCAAGGGTCGCGTTGAAGACACGGCCATGGCGTTGGTGTGTGCCCCTTTTTTGCTAGTCGTGAGATTTGAAAACAGAATAAACACCGGGATGACAGAGAGAAAAGGTCCCCGCAGTTTTCTGATTGGCCAATTTTCTTGAAAGGAAATTTCCTGCCCCAAAGGGTTGCGGGGCGTCTTCCATCGTGTCGACGAGTGGCGGGCGTGCGTTCGACTCGGTGGGCAGGCGGCGAATCGACACTCAGGTGCCGCTCTGCCGAAAGCGAAGCATCTCGTGGTGGTTACGACGCGCGATCGCTCAGTCAGGAAGACACCTCAGTAGCGAGTGTGAGTGTAGCAGACAGAGGGCACCACGCACGACCTCTCTTTCTTGCCTACAGCACAGCGCACGGAATCTGAGCTAACAGCTGCGGGGGAACGGTACGAGTAGGTTGGTTTGCATGTCGGAACATTCATGCCCTTGCAGTGATACCTGCTTCCATCACCGCTTTGAGAATTGGAATTTTGGGCACGTTTGTGTCATCTGTAACGAACGCAGACGAGTCCGTACACGCGAAGCAGGGAGCTTTGCGTTCGGCGTCTGTTCTAATACAAACGTGGTGGGCAAGACTTTTCCCCGATATGCGCTGTGCGTCCGCTCAAAGGTACCCGATCGCCCCCGCATTGCGATGATGATTATCGTGTGCCTCTCGTTGCGGTCGCGCTTTGTCAGGTGACGTGTGTTCTTAACGTGGCTGCGTCCGGAACAAAGAACCCGCGTTTATTCCTCCAAGAGCTGTCGGATCACAGCAGTAGCACCCGTGAACTTGTCTGGACGTGCTCTTCCCTCAAGGCGCCTTCTTCACGGAATAGGGGGAGCAAGCGCGTGGTGTTTTCTTCGCGGTTGCGTGAAGCACGACGATCAAAGCAAGGGTGCTTGCTTCCTGCCTTGCGCCAGCTTGCTCGCTCGTTCGGGTGGGCAGTTGAGGTATCGTTTGTTTTTTTGCATCGACAAGCCAACAATATTATGATAAATTCTTGCCGTATGTATACACAAGCAACACACATCAAAGCTCACAACCGATGAGAAGGGTGCGCTGTTGAAGCTACATCACTGGTGGAAACAACACCCGTACGGACAGCCACATTAGCCACGCGCGAACTCAAATACCAGCACATCTTCGCGCATCAACCCCCCCAACCCGAGGCAACTACCTTCTGCTTGAAACTCGACAACGCCGAAGTGGCACTTCACCGGATAGCCGAAGGCCACACGTCACCACCACTCCACACTGAAACACTAGACACTTCGGAGCCCACGTCTGACAGGGTACGCCCGCATCAGCCGTACATTGTACAATAAAAGCTTTCACCTTCATAAAGGGACTGGCACGGGGCCTCATAAGGGAACATTACTAAAAGATACTTACAGTCCCGCGGTCCGCATGGTATAGGATACGTCCCGTATCCTTGTACGGGCATGCGTGTCAAACAACCCCCTTGTACACGACAAAAGCGGTGCAACTCTTGAGCAGACACGATGTCTCGCTCAAGAGGGCCAATCTGCCCGCTTGAAGTATGCCAGACGCCTGCGTCACTGTCGGATTCCCAGGCTTCGTCAACAACATTTCCGCGAAATTAATAATCTAGTGCGGAAGGTTGATGAGGCTACCGTCGAGAGCGTAGACCGGCGCCCCAGGCGGCGCACCCATGCTTTCTCTCGTGACACCGAGCAAGTCTTCCGCGCAAAAGCGGCACAATATCTGGGAATGAGACAGGGGAGGGGTGCACGCGGGGAGAACCAATTAGGCAGGATAGCTTGACGGGTCAACTGCCTGGCGTGCATGTATTTCTTCCATCGTGATGTTCACTGCTCAAGAAATCTTCGAGGAGTTTCGGAGGCGGCGGCGGCGTTGGAGATCCTAACATCAATGCACCAGCAGATCGCGCCACGTCTCACGCTTTTTCGGGGTTGCCTTGAACGGCCACATGCCAACGGCGGGCAGACGGGTCTCTCAGCCTCGGCGTGTCCGTCGACCACGCCCAAGTCACATCGTGAGGGGAACGACACGTGTTGTGTTGTGCAGAATCAACCAGTTGGCGTGTCTTCCAGGATTGTGCTACGTTCAAGTACGTCCACGCACGAACATACACCCAGCATGACCACAAACCAAGCCTCACGATGCGCTCGAGAAATGCTTGCACAACCAAAAAATAACCCCCCGATCTGAGACACTCCGTAAAACTCACCTCTGTGTTGGGACTATGGATGGTAACCGTGGGAAACAAATCCCTGTCCTTGGGGAGGGCAAGTCCAAGCGCAGCAGAGGTCTCGGGAACAGCAGGTGGTAACATGGTACCCCCCCCTCGACCAATCCCCAAAGCTGGCGCAGCCGCTCCGCTGGACGCGCCCGCTCCTCCTTCTCCTCCCCCTCCTTTTTTGATCAAGCGCGCACTGCATGTAGCTGCTGTTGCGGCCGCTGCACCAGCAGCGGCCACTTCCCACGGCGCAACCTCTTCTACGGGAGGGCAACCAGGCGGCGGAGGCGGCGGCGACAAACACACCTCCTCGCCGTGTTCTTGCTGCACACGTTCTCCCCCTCCCCCGCCTCCTTCTCCGGGACCCGCGGCGGCGTAAGCTGCGGCGGAAGCTGCGAGCGTCGCGCTGGCCTGCTGCAGCTGGGGTGGCGGCAGCGCCATGACTGGAGACATCAGCCCCGGCTGCTGCTGCTCCTGCGGCGGCTGCGGGCCGTACACCAACGGCGACTGCGGCTGCTGCTGCTGCTGCTGCTGCCGCAACAGCATCGCCGCCGGCGGAACGCCCCCGCCGGCGCCGGCGCCGGCGCCGGCCGGGAGCGGGGCCTGGGCCAGGCCGGCGGGTCCGGTGGCGACTCGCACGAGCCGGCCGTCGACGCTAAAGGAGACGAGCGCCCTCACCATGTCGCCGTCCCACGAGCGGAAGGGGCGAGACCCGTCCAGGTAGACGAGGACACCCACCGTGGTCATCATGCCCGCCTTGCGCATGGCAAACTCTCCGGGCTCGCCGTACCAGCGGGAGGACATGAGGATCTGATTCGCGACCGGGAGCAGGATGCGGGGTCGGGGAACGGAGAAAGCGTCAGCGGGGTTAGGACACCTGGGTATTTATAAATAGGTTGAATCCGATGGCCGGCGAGTCGGTCGAACGGGTGCGCACGGTAGCAACAAAAAGAAAGGGCTTAGAGTATCACTACGGATGCCCCGCAACAAAATTAGAGATTCTTACCTGTCCAGTGGAGCAGAATCCGACCGAGTTGCTGAAGGCCCCGACCAGGGTGGAAAGGGGCATCTCCGGAGTGGACAAGCCGACCCCGATGCTGGGGGCGAGAGTACCCTCCCTGACGCAACTCACCTGGAAGTAGACATGCCTGGGACACGAACGAACAGCCCCGGCGAGAAGAAACACGGACGGGGGGAGGATGAGGTTCGTACGCGAGTACTACTTGCACCGACATATACTATCGTTTCCAGCTGAGTCCAACCGGTACTATCCAGTCAACACACATCAAACCACACAGGCAGGTTGCCGTGGGGGCGGTGTTAGGACACCGCGCAATGCCCGCGCGACGACATCACACACAGGCGAGAAAAAACGTGCCGTTTTGAAGCGGTGATTTTGCGTTTGCCGCCGGTTCGACCGCCCGCTCACCGGTTGCGGAGGACCGGGACCATGGCGCGTGCCGAGCTGTACAGCGAGGGCCCGACCTTGGTGGCGCGGTGGTGCCCGCACGTGAGCACGATGCCCTCGCAGGCGTCGTTGCCATCGAGGACGGCCAGTCGCTGCTGCCTCCGGAGGAAGTCCGCCGTCGCCCGCGTCTGTCGACGAGGCGCGTCCGCGAGAGAAGACCGGTCACAAAAAGAGGTGATCACACACACTTGACTAGAACGTAATTAGAACGAGTTCTCGTGTGTTATCCGGCTTCAAGACTGACGTCACTCACTCGTCAGCGGATTAGCGCAGTCGATGACAATGAAGAACACACACACGCGCACACAAACACGTGTCTTGTGTTTTCAACTGCACTGAGACTGACGTATTTTTATTGGTCGGCCGGTTAGCGTGGTCGATGCTAAAAATAAAAACACACACGCGCGCACACACACGCATATCGAAACACACACCGCCAAGGGGCGGGTTTACATTACTTCTCTCTCGAGGTACGGGTACGTTTAGCGCTAGGGTTAGGTGTGGGATGTTCCATATGCAGATCGGATCACCGCGATCCCAGGAGGCGTTCTCAGCACCACATGATTGTGATTGCAGTCAAAGGCAAAGCGCGGGATTTGGTGGCTTGGCGAGCCCCGTGCGTGCCTCGCTCAATCAACCAATCCCCGAAATCCCGAAATACAGGTGGGCTGGGCATTCGATCAGCGTTGGCTCTCTCGCCAACGCGTGAAACTGCCGTCAAGACAGGTGCACATCAACCACAAAAAAAAGAGCAAAGGGAGCCGTTTCACAGCAGATGACAAAGACTTGGAGTATCACCACACCATTACATCAAGAACACCACAGATCCGTATCGAGTCAAACCAAGGGCGAATCAATCAAACAAGCACCGATCCCTCTAGCTCCCCTCCCTACGTGCTTGTGGTGAAATGCTAGCCTGGTCCTNCGTCGCTTGGCAACGACGTTGTAAAACAAGCCAATTCACTTCGTGAACTCGGCAACCAGGTTACCGTTTTTTTTTTTTCCGGAGTGTTTTTTTTTGGCGGTAACCATAATTGTGGTCGAGTAGATCATGTTGTGCGGGGTGGAGAAGTCTCACTCCGCGCAAGGGGGATGATCGCACCACGTTGTGTTAAAATGGTCAAGCAACCTCGAGGCAGTTACACAGTGCTTACAACTGTCTCTGGACGTCAAAGCACCAAAAAAGAAATTAAGTCATACGCAGCTGTCATCCGTACGCAAGGAAGCAAGCACAAGATGCCGAACACCCCTAGCAGGATGCAGCGCACCCTTCATGCGACTCGTCGAATATCTCACGGCGCTTCGCGCTTGGTCATGTTTGAGCCTGGTCCGGTAAGAACCCCGCGTGCTCCGTCCCGGCTTTGTCGGGATGCGAGGTCAATGGTCTCACGACTACGGCATGCACGACTATGAGCACACACACACACACACACACCCGGCATGCCTCACCGTCTCATCTACGCCGGGCTTGAGGTTCTCCCCAAGGCGGAGGTGGTCGCGGGCAAGGAAAAGCACGTCGTCCGAGAACTGCGACGTCCGCGCCATGACGTGCGCGCGTGACACCGGCGTCGGTGGGAAGGACTGTGGCGTGCACATGAACGCGCTCGAACCCCCCTCCGCACTCATGCGCCCGTCATCATCGCCGTCGCCGTCCTCCCCGATTGCGTCGCTGCCGGCGCCCACCGGGTGCTGCCCGTCCTTTGTAACGGTGGCCTGCAAGGGGGCGACGCAAGGGGTAGGTTACGAGGGGGGTATCTGAAACATCATGTGCCGAACTTCTTCAACGATCGATTTGTGGCACTGTGGGAGTATTATTGTGCACACAGGAGAAATCATGGCCGCGCATGCCGTAGTCGGTTGGGTAGCACCATAGATCCCTCGCATGCCGGGACGGATCGCTAATTTATAAACCGGGTTTCGCCGGTCCAGACTACACGTCTCACAAATATCACCAAGCTTGAAGCTGGTCATCATGCTTGCCTTTGGGAGGATAGGGGAGGGGAAGAGTGCGCACCTGCTACGTGCAATAGCAGTAATACGAATCAACTTCTCCAGATGCACGTGGGACTACGGGGCACATACAGTATTTACAGAGACAAGAGTCGCGGGGCCGGCGACTCTGTCGAAAACGCCGGCATGACATTGTAAACCGGCCAGCGGGCGTGAAGAGCTCTGGCTGACAGCTCCAGGGTTCAGCAGATAATTTTTCGGAGGGATACTTCCATTAAAGAAGCTGTCGGGTTTACGTGTTTGCCCCTGTGGTACAGATGCAGATGGCCGTCTTTCTCGCTGGTGCGCCACAAAACCGTTGAGACACTCAAGCACACGTACACCTTGCACGATCGGGACCCTAACCTAGCTGCCCCAAAGGCAACCCGTTGTCTTGTGGTTCACGCGGTAAGAACGCCATGGCACCACAGCGCAGCAGGCACACATAGCCCTTTTCCAACTCCGCGCTCTACCACCACGTACCACGCAACACCCCCCACCTTTTCCCCACCACACGGCGCCTCGTACATACCTGGAAGCACTGCAGAGACATGGCGTAGTGCATGCGCCGACGGACCCGCTGTGCCTTCGCCCTGGGCACCGCGCTCTCGGCCCTCTCCTCATACGACACCAGTGATGCAGTCCGGTTGACGCGGTCGAGGCGCCGCCGCATCGCGTGAGCCTGCTGCCAGGCGACGCGGGTGCCGCTTGCGCCCCCGGAGCGGTAGAACTCGTCGTCGGGATATCCCGCGGAGCTGGCCCCTGTTCAACGTAAAAACGATTCGGTCGTGCAAGCGAAGCATTCGGTGAACGATTAGAGCCAAGTGTCGGGAGGATGGTGGTGGACATATCGTTAGACTTTTACCACCCCTCTCACCCCCCGGTGTTTGCCATCGAGGTTGGGTTTTCGTCGCTTGGCAACTACGTTGTAAAACAAGCCGCCCTCCCCCGGTGTTTGCCATCGGGATTGGGTTTTCGTCGCTTGGCAACTACGTTGTAAAACAAGCCGCCCTCCCCCGGTGTTTGCCATCGGGATTGGGTTTTCGTCGCTTGGCAACTACGTTGTAAAACAAGCCGCCCTCCCCCGGTGTTTGCCATCGGGATTGGGTTTTCGTCGCTTGGCAACTACGTTGTAAAACAAGCCGCCCTCCCCCGGTGTTTGCCATCGGGATTGGGTTTTCGTCGCTTGGCAACTACGTTGTAAAACAAGCCGCCCTCCCCCGGTGTTTGCCATCGGGATTGGGTTTTCGTCGCTTGGCAACTACGTTGTAAAACAAGCCGCCCTCCCCCGGTGTTTGCCATCGGGATTGGGTTTTCGTCGCTTGGCAACTACGTTGTAAAACAAGCCGCCCTCCCCCGGTGTTTGCCATCGGGATTGGGTTTTCGTCGCTTGGCAACTACGTTGTAAAACAAGCCGCCCTCCCCCGGTGTTTGCCATCGGGATTGGGTTTTCGTCGCTTGGCAACTACGTTGTAAAACAAGCCGCCCTCCCCCGGTGTTTGCCATCGGGATTGGGTTTTCGTCGCTTGGCAACTACGTTGTAAAACAAGCCGCCCTCCCCCGGTGTTTGCCATCGGGATTGGGTTTTCGTCGCTTGGCAACTACGTTGTAAAACAAGCCGCCCTCCCCCGGTGTTTGCCATCGGGATTGGGTTTTCGTCGCTTGGCAACTACGTTGTAAAACAAGCCGCCCTCCCCCGGTGTTTGCCATCGGGATTGGGTTTTCGTCGCTTGGCAACGACGTTGTAAAACAAGCCAACTCAAATCGTGATCTCGGTAACCAGGTTACCGGTTGTTTTTTTTACCTCTGTTTANCCTCGAGGCAGTTACACAGTGCTTACAACTGTCTCTGGAAGTCAAAGCACTAGAAAATAAACAAA